GACAGCGACTCGCGACGATCGCGTATCGAGCAAAGAAAAACGCGCGCTTCGCCAACCGAACAGATAAACGCGGTTCTGACGTCAATTATTTTTAATCTCGCCGGTCGTTTATCGCGCATTCGTCGCGAGGTCCGTGCCTCTTTCGCGAACGACGTATCCGCGAAACGTTGCGAACGTAATCGACCGTCGACGGTGCCCGAACGCGTCCTTTCCCGAAATCGTCGAACTTTCGTTGCACAACAACCGAGCGAACCCGGCGACCGAGGCGAGCTGCTCGCGCACTTCAGAATCCTTCGCGGCGATAACACGGAGATAGCTTAATCTTTAAGGCGATCGCGTTATTCCGTCGCGAATTTCAGGCACGTATCGCCATCGCGGCGTAAATTTTAACGATTTCTTCGAAGTTACGACTCACAAGATGTTGTCCCCTTTTTTATTTTATCGTTCGAGTTCCGAGCGTGCACGGGGTAAACGTTTTGGGAAATTTAGACTGGTTCTGGGAAAGTCTGTTCCTTGGAATTGCGTATGAACACTGGTATCGGTACGAGAGGTATGTAGAGGCCTCGCAGCTAAAGTTCGTGTTGCAAAATGTGAATATTGTAGGATAATCCATGTCCGCGATAGAGCGATTAACGTGGAATATTCACGTAACAATGACTACGTTGCAACTTTGAGCATTTTTAGATATCTTTGAATACGCAAGTTGGGACACATGTACCAAGAAACGTTCTTTCAAATACCCTTCAATTTGTTAATAGAAATGTTTGTCCGAAAGAAATTCAAGAAGTAAATGTTTTTAAATTTTAGAGCACGGAGCTCAAATATTTTCCCAGGCGCATCGGACCCCTTGTCCCAAAGAAATTATGAACTGTACACGTAAAAATTAAATGATGGGTAAATTCGTTTCGTTTACGACGAGAATGAACCCCATGAGAATGACACCGTGCCCTATTACGTCTATCGCGTGTTACGTATATAAAGGGCCAGGGACACAAACGAAAGTCGGTAGACTTCGCTCGTTATTACCTCGATTACAGGTGCTCCCAATTAGCCGTCACGCGCGCGACCGGCCATCGCAATGCTGTTCGCAGTAATTACAGAGACGTTAAAGTCGAAACGGATAGGGTGGACGAGAAAAAACAGGTTCCTCCAAAATCGGATCGGAGTGGAAGCGAAAAAAAAAAAACAACGACCGCTAAAACGAGCCCATGTTAGGCTCATCGGGCTTCTCGTCGAATTTTTCGCTAAATACCTCGAACGCGTTCCAAATACTCGAGTATTAAATATAACGCGGAGTACACGGCTCGATTTCGAATACTTCCAAGTATAGTTTGAATATCTTTCGAATACTTAAGTATTTAAATAATGTAGATATTATTGAATGATCGATAAGCTATAACGTATCTACGTTATTTAAATAATGTAGATATCTGAACACGTCCTTACTTGAATAATGATATTCGAGTAATGGTACTGGAATAGTAACGAGGTTGGGTTTAAAACCAGTATTTCAGCTGAATACAGTACGTACACCCTAACGTATACTAAAATTAAAAATTCTGGACGAATAAAGCTTCAGAAGGTTAAGGTCAAAGCAGTAAAACGCAAACAGATAGGAAATATATGAAAAATTAATGTTTGTTAACTCTTTGCACTCGAGAAGCACAAAAGCTCCATAGTCGCCGCTACGGCGACGTAGCGAACCGCCAGCGACTAACTTCCCCTTCAATCTACAGCGGGTCAAAAAAGTACTGGCACACCCAGTTTTCTTTGAATATCTTTATAATTTGAAGTAATCTATTAATATTAACTACGTTTATAAGTGTCTTTTGACACACATAGATAGTATGTTCATCGAGAGTTCTAAGTTATTTGTTATAAGGAAGTAAAGTGAAAAAAAAAAAACGAAAAATCTATAGTCAAAAAAGTATCGGCACACGTATGATTTTGCTATAAGGACAAGTGTTACTCGCTTTGGTACGTGACAAATTCGGTTCTAGGAACATAAAGATAAACAGAACTTGCTGTTATGAATCTCTTTCTCGGTTAACACGATCAGTCTGTGCTTACGCTTTGAACGACAATCGTGACTACGAAGAAGAGCGAGTTATCGTTGTGCGTGCGAAATAAAATCATTGTATTACACAAAAGTATTAGGTCGTCCCGAAAGTTTCTTTCGCGAGTTGCGCTCAATTATTTTATGTGCTCGTGTTTCTATAAATAGACAATCTAATTTCATAGATATTCATGTTGTAACAGTAATGGAGCAAAATGAATCGTGCACGTAATTCAGTAATGTAACATGAAACATAAAATATTGTGCATGTATTTCTTATTAATAAAGCGAAAGAAACTTTTGGGTTCTGAAACTTTTGGCCTAATACATTGTATATACTATTGTAAATATTTGCCAATGATCCCAGCGTGGAATATCTTCAGAAATCAGGCATAATTCAAATTGCAAAAGCTCGGAACAATCCTAACCCTAACCAGCAAGGTTCAACGAGCCAGCCACGTGAAAGTGGACGGCGACTCTCGTGATCGCGGGCCACGTGATCAAACCGCGACACAAGGGCGGTCGAGGGACGAAGGATCTCGCGGAATCGGCACCCGCGATCTCGTCTGACCTCGATCGTTTTACGCCGAGATCGATAAAAAAGAAAAAAGAAGAAAAAAAAGAACGAAAGAAAGAAAGAAATCAGTCTGATACGAATTTGTGCAACGGGGCCCGAGCGACGGCCGTGCGATCGATACGATCGAAGTCGTGGAAGTCGATAGCTTTAATTGGCGGCTACGATAACGCGTGCGGTTCGCCGTTGCGTAAGGACTCGCGTTAGAACCGCGAGAATCGAAACGGGAGTCGATCCGAACGCGAATTTCGATTGCGAGAAAGTCGAGAGCTACGCATCGAGGGATTCACAGTATAAAGATCGATTCAGACTATACGACACGGACCGTCACGTTCCGGCAACGACACGTACCGGCACACAGTGCGGAATAAAGTGGACGAAATTCGATATTAGTATATATCACAATGTGAGTGTGTGTCGGCGTGGAAATTGTTATAAATAGTCACGTATCAATCATCTGTATCCATAATACAATCTTTATCTCTAAACGAACGTACAGACAAAACGGCAAAAAATATCCCGAGTTCTCAACATATTTGGATACATTATTCGTTATATTTTAAGAAACTTTTAGCAAAATCCCGAACTCGAAGTTACGAATATTTCGTTCGGAAAATTACTGAATTAACAGGTACCGATTTTGATTAACGTTTTACAGACTGATGATACCATTAACAAATGGAAGCAATTTTTGCTGAGATGCAAGACATTTTTTTAGTAGCGATGATTGAATTGAAAGGAGCGACAAAAATCATCAAAGTATTATTGTTTAATATTCATCTTACACAAAATATATAGCAATTGTAAATAAATAATTCCTCGTTGTAAAACTCAAGTGTACGATTTGAATGTGAATTCAGGCCCCGCAAAATTGTTCAACCCGGCCCGGCAAAAGGTCACGCCGGCTCTGAAAAAACGACATTACTTTCCAGTCTACCTAATACTATCTGTAGGTATTCAAAAATATATAGGCCTCAAAAAATTCATACATATTTTGCAATAACAAATGGACCGCCGGTCAAGCGCAGGGCGCTCTGAAGATTATCTGTAGATAAATTGTATACAAATGTATATCGTAGTCTGTGCTCACTCGCGCCGCGAGTGGTAGAAATATTCATAACTTTAAGCTCGGTATTTTGATAACAGTTTCCTAGTAATTAATTTTCGTACGGTGTTGGATCTCCTTACACAGTCTTCATGCGCAGAACTAATCCCGAAGCGACGGGTCCGATACTAGCGCGTAGGCCAGAAAGTCCACATCGCGAGAGACGCGAATTGCACGGAAGACAGTGGCGATTAACTCGATTAATAATAGGTATCGACTCTGATCGCTATCGTTTAAAAGTGAAATGCGACGGTTTCCAGAGTATCGGAGTACGCACGCGGTCGAACGCTACATGCGTGATCGACCACGTGACCCGCGAGCTCGTAAAGTCAGCTGTCAAGCTGACGACAAGCGAACCTGTCCAGCGACGACGGCCTTTTCTCGTTCTTGGATAACTTAACATCGAATTCATTAATGATACACAATCGTACGAAATACGTCGAACGCGCGAACGATCGCGAGGAGAAACACCGAAGCAAAAACAGTAAAATTTCACGTATAAAAATACATTCAATTAACTCGGCTCTATTACATTCCCGCCAATCGAACAACGCGATAGAGATCCGAAACTCGTTGTAAAAGATCAGAGAACTGTTAAAAAGGACGGCGAGGTCTGTTTTTATGCGAAGGAATTACAGGCGACGCGAATCGGCCGAGACAGTTTGCACGGTACGTAAACCGGCGAGTGGAAACGCGGCCTGACAACCCACGACGCCCAATCACCTGTCAAGCAACGTGGCGACCGGCTAAAAGCACACGCCGCGTCGAGAAACCCGTTTTTCCGGGTAACTCGTCACAAGGCACGACAAACACGATTTATCCCATTGACTGCGGACCCTGTTCACCAAAATTTTACGTTCCACGGCGGATTCTCTAAACGTGTCAATTTAGACTGCGTCACTTCTTGGACTATTTATACGTAACTTTGATTTACTCCGAAAGAAAACAGGCTACGAAAAACATGTTTTAATTTCTCTAAGCAAAGGATGAGTCAGAAAAGATACGCGTCATCGTATTCTCGACCGTTTCGATGCGTAGAGGACGACTAGTCGCGCGTTTAAATGACTCGCCTAGGAAAGTAGACGGCTTTTAAATCACTCACACGTGCGATCGAGACGGCAATACATAGTTCTCGGAATGCTCACACGTGTGAGTCGTCCGCAGTCAATGGTTCGCCACGCCACGCGTGACGCGGCACACTGATTACATGGGGAAACGAAAGTAAGCTGCATGACGAAGAAAAAATTCGGAGTCACATTGATTACGACTCACGTTTCAGCGGTTTCGGGTTGCTCTGCTTGCGGCGTGACATCCTCTGCGTTCTGCCATCACCAAATCAACGTCGACATGCTTGACATCGTTGCAGGTACTGCGCGTGAGATGATGAAGATTGCTGCTCCGTCCCAGATCGTCGTGACGTCGTTGACATAGAACAAGTGACACAGCACACGCAACGAGAATCAGCGTTTAGACGGAACAGGTTGGTACGAGAGACGATATAAAGCGAGGACAAGGGATAAAAATAAAAAGAAAGCGTAGAACAGCCGGGAGTAAAACACTTTTGAGGCACAACAAACGTTTCCCGATCACCGGACAATGTACGTAGCTTGCGAACGCTTCTCTTTTCCGTTGAACGGTTTACAGGCCGTCTCGAAAGCGTTCCTTGTTTTCCTTACCCGCGTTTACGGCCGGTTCTCGCGTTTTCCACGCACGAGTGCCGACGGAGAACGCATACACGCACCACGACAGCTCATACCGCGGCCGCTGTCAGCGAGCAACTAAACAAACGCGATACCAAACAACCCCCACTCCCACCAACGCAGCGTGACTACGCGAACCGAAGTGGGGAGCGCAGAGGGGAAACTAGCTCCGCCCACTGCGCGCGGTCTGCTTCCGAAAGCGGGAAATTTTGAACGGAGTATTTATCGACCGAGAGCTCTGCTCAATTTCCAGAAGGCAGCTTCTTCTCTAGCGACATCTGCGACGGCATGGTGTATTTCAAAAAGTCCCTAGGTTCTTCTTTCTCGCCTGGTAATAGAAACAGAATATTTTTAAGATGCCAACAATAGGTATCAGAGGGATCGTACTTACCCACGAAGGTGTCATTCATTGAGAATAACGCGATGCATTTTATATCCCCTACCTGAAATCTATATTTTGCGATCGTAGTTATAAAAATAATAAATAAAAATATATGTAACTCTTATCACATTTTATATAATGATTAATTCACTGGATTTGCGATGAAGTAATAGAAACGTGAGTTTTACACTAGGAAACTCAGATTATCGTCTAAAACGGTCAAGGTTCTGTAATAGCCGATGGCATGAACGTGCATATACATCAAACGAACAGTGTTTTTGTACTCAGCATAATCTCTTTCCGAAGGCTGAAGCTTTTTTTATGCTTCCACAAAATATTATTATTATTCTCCTAAAGCCGTGATATTTTCTGTGATCTATCTTCAACCGCATATAATACAAAGGAATGACTATCGGGCACGGTTCAGTCCAAGCAATTTTTACGTGGCACCGTTTTTGCCGATGTAAACAAGCCGAAGACAAATTTATATTCCCACAATTTCTACCGATATATTCTATTTTTATACGAACGATGTAATAGAGTTCACAGGGTTCGTCGAATCCATTTATAATTAAAACTACCAGACAACAAAACGGTTGGACAAAAACGAACGCATTTCCATTGAACGTATTTTTAGTCGCAAGATGTTTACGTGATACTTTCTGTGAAGGGCTCTGACCCGTTTAACGTCAGACACGCCCCACGCTTTCAGACCCGTGAGCACCGTGTACACAAACTCTCATGCGTCGTGGCACGCACAGCTACCATAATAATGCAGTCATGACTTAACTAGGCTCGGGACCACTCGTCCAAATGCTTCGCATTTGAACACTCGAATATTTTTGTGTCGAACTACTCAAATCTCGAAGTATTCAAAGATGGAACTGCTTAAACATTAAATTTTCGAATAGTAATCAACGCGAATGATCGAAAGTACTCCTAATATTCGAAGTGATCCAAGTATTGGGTTGTCCGGAAAGTCCATGCTGATTTTTGATAGGTGGTGCAGGTCTGAATATGTCGAAATGGCTGAAAACAAATAATATATATACAGGGTGTCCCAAAAGTCAGGGAGGAGCCGGAAATGGGGGGTAGCTGTGACGATTCTGAACAACAATTTCCTTTGCAAAAATGTCGGATGGAGCTTCGTTAAGGAGATATTAAGCGAAAACCCCGACCAATCAGAGCGCGCGTAGACCGTCCGAGCGACCGCGGTAGCGAAGGCTACGCGCTAGACGGCAGCGTCAATGTCCTTCGATGCACGTCGAGTCACTTGTTCGCGTACAAGCGCGGCCGCCGGCGCGTAGCCTTCGCTACCGCGGCCGCTTCAACGGTCTACGCGCGCTCTGATTGGTCGGGGTTTTCTCTTAATATCTCCTTAACGAAGCCCCATCCGACATTTTTGCAAAGGAAATTGTTGTTCAGAATCGTCTCAGCTACCCCCCATTTCCGGCTCCTCCCCGACTTTTGGGACACCCTGTATATATATGTACATCCCTTAAAAGGTGGAAAGGTTGTGGAACAAAATGGTACCTATGTAATTCAATAAATATACATATAAATAAACGTATATTACAATTCAAATGTGCGTTTGAAGTTTTCTTAAAAATTGGCACGAACTTTCCGGACAACCTAATATATACATATATGTGATTTGAACTTTTAACTCTACTACTAGAAGGTAATTTGTAGCATTCGAACAATAAACTACTCGTATAATCTCAGCCTCAGTCTTGACTCGAGCGTTACACGGCTTTTCAAACAATCCAATGGCGCGCTCGGTCGAAGGCCGTTTCGGGAACGAAGCCAGAAATAAAGCGATAACATTTGCAATGATAGTTTCCGCACAGAATCAGACAGCACCGATGTTTTGCATTCAACGTTCAGACGCTTGTAATTCAACCGAACGGTTCCTCGAAGGTCGAGCCAAGGAAGACGCTATCGAGAAGCAAAGAAAACGAAAACAAAGATGGCGATGCGAAGGATTGGATATTATTTACAGGCTACGTAACGTAAAAGCTATGCATTCATTTCAATCGTGTCTCGCGGACAATGTTTTTCATAAGCAATTATCCTCGTATAACCCACACATACAGTGGGTGTAGAATGTATTCGTACACCGATCAATTTTCCAAAAAACTTTTCTGTGAAATTGTAATTTTCTCAACTTCTTTTCTTATAATCAATAATATTTTACATATTCTCGGAAGTCTCCAAGATAGATGATATAGTCCAAACAACATTTACTATTTAATATAATTTGTGAAATTAACAAAAAAAAAAAATGGGAAAAGTGGGTAAAAGTATAGAAGCAATAAGTATTTGTATTGCTCCGTACGAATTAGAAAACATCAAATTTCCAGTCAAGTACTCGTAAACAGTTGTGCGAATACTTATTGCTTCAACATTTCTATCGATTAATTGTTTTTATCTTGTTAATTTCGCAACTTACATAAACAGCAATTTTTTGTTGTAATCTATGTATTCTAGAGATTTCTCAGAATGAATAGAATGTCATCGTTTATAAAAAATTAGTAAATAAATTACAATTTCACAGTTTTTTTTGGAAATTGATCTGTGTACGAATACTTTTTACACCTACTGTATATTTAAAAATAAATTTGTAATTCATTATTCAATTAAGCGCGCATGTCTCGAAGGCGAGCCTTGGCGTGGATACGAACCGAAAAAAGAGTCTCACCTATGGATTTCCAACCAGGAATTCTCCGGCGCGCGTGAATTCTCAATAGTGCTTGATAAGGCGTATCCAGATAAACAAAGTTCCAAAGTAAACATCGGATGGGTAAGCGTCGCGCAATGTTGGAAATAGCTGAAGAAGCGAATCGCTACTCGAGTGCCTTTATCACTCACTAGGATTTGTCCAATTCTCCATAAACTCCATCAACTTCTCGATAAACATTTAATGAAAACATTAGAGGTCGTGGGTTACACTCCACGACTCCACAATCGCCTATCGGAAGTAAAATTATTGTTTAAAAATTTGTCGATGGTAAATCGTGAACCATGTTCGCGAGAAATGAAAGATTTCGAGGCTCTACGTCGAAGCCATTGAAAAAAGCATTCCGCGTCATAATCGTCTTTAAAAATAGAGCATTCCATTGCATAACGCTACCTAAACGCGCTTGTTACTGTGCAATTTATAATTGTCCGTCGTTATCGATGCGTCATCTTATACCACTACGAAGTTTGAAAAAAAAGCCGAAGGTGTCGATTTTTCCGTAGAAACAATATACGTCTCAACCAACTTATCAGTTAACAGGTTGAACACTTTTAAGATTGTGGAGAGAAAAGAAGCATCGCATAATCATATTCTAATCGAAAGGTAAGTGTCGCTGAAGACAACTCTTCGAGATAAACAAGATAGTTGTTTGGTTGGGAACATACATTCCGCGACGACTTATCTATCCGTAGATATAAATAAATCCGTAAGGATAAGTATCTTTACTATTTTATTTTTTTTTTTTTTTTTTATGAATTTTTGACATTTACAGTTTCCTTTAATTCAAGAACTTAATAATTTAAACTGTTCGTATATAATATTCACGTAGAAAAATACATATTCGATATTCCATTGCACATCAAAGCACTGTATTATGGATGTGCCAAATTTGAAAGTGCTCCAATTTACATCAGCTTATTTGAACGTGTCCCGTTAATTGGTTTCCAGTAGCGACGTGTCCCGTTCGCGGATCTCTCGATCGACCAGGTGAGAAGGGCCCGTGATCGAGAATCGTTCGCCTCATACGCGTGTTTTCCACGGCATTCGTGTTTTTATCTTCGCGTTTTTTGAACGTGCTCCTTATCACGCGTGGCGAGCAATCGCGTGGAATATTACTATGTAAATTCCTCTTTCAACGATGCTCTCTCGCGTTTCTAGTAAATTTGATCTTATCGCGCAGTATCTCCCGCCGCGGTTGCACTATCGCTGTAACCGCAATTTATGCTCCGTCGATGGTTAGAAAATTTCTTATGGCCGCCGCGCGACCATCAATGGCGCGTTTCGGGCACAAATTGTATTTTTCATAGAACTTTTCGTCGAGATAAATCTAAACACTTAGTTTTTGTGTATCTTTTATTCGATATTAGAAACTTTTAGATAAGAATGTTTTTGTCCACCAGTGACTCGTTATTACACCGAAGGAACCGTGTCCACGCCAGTTAGAACGGAGCAGGGTAGCGTCGAGCGTGGTCTTACCGTATTTGTTTCATAAGAAGTTCGTCTATCGCGAAATACACCCACAGTTTCATCACTGCTTTATCTCGGTCCTCGTATAACGGACCGTCGCTTTTAATAATTCCTCGCGGTCTTTAATTGGCCTGTATCGATTCTCGTGAGCAGCACGCGTCCCGCCGATTTGACGAATTCAAAGGCTTCCAATGTTCACGATAGACAACAAGGGAATCATTCAACGGGCTCGTGATCAGCGATCGTTGGTGTGCTCGCCTTCGCCCGTGGAGCATCCATTATCACCCAGCCTCGCGTCAACTCCGCGAAAGTGTCGCCGACTTTATTTTTAAAACCGTTCAGCAGCGTCATCCATTCTTTTCCAGCAGGTCTGGGTAATTAAAAAAGGGCTCAGGGGTTCGTTTCAATTTTTATCATTCTTACTCGACACGTTTAAAAACTGTCCCACCTTGCCCTAAAGGAAATATTTAAAGGTACAGCAGATGTAAATCTTACACGAGGTCTGAAATGTTTAAATAAATAAAAAAAAAAAAAAAAAAAAGAAAAAAAAAATAAGTGAACATGTATAAAGGTCCCTCTGGATAATAAACATCGATGAAACGTGGATGGAACAAACACTGTTTGCGCAAGAGCGAACGCCTGTATTAATTTAAGAAGAAAATCCTCGTGAAATGCAACGCTCGAAGATTCGTTACCCTTTTTTCTTTGTTCTGGCTTTAGACGTTCGAAGTCCAAGGAAGGAATTGCGTCGAAAATTGTTTGAAAAATTTGTCGACTTATCGGACCCGTGATTTTGCCTCGCCAGCATGGCAGCAACACGGTCGAACCACGTTATCTTAGTGGGGCGGACACCGTCGCGTGGCAATTGAAGAAAATTGATAATTGCGTTTTGACGTTGCACCGCGTCGTAAGTGGGTCACGCCACGCACTGGTCGAAAGACGGGAAAACCCTAAATTATGAAAGCTCTATTTTTATCTATCGATTACTACCTTCTCGCGACCACTAAACCCATCTTTCCGTGTACTTGGATTTTTAACACTCGAGCTATTAAAGAAGAAAAATACCGATGAAGAAAGCAACCAGAGGAAAAGTAACTTTACTTTTTTTTTTTTCATAAAGGACAGAAATATCATGAATTACATAATTTATTAAATTCCTTGCAATCTTGAAAAGTAGCGTATGTACATGATTAATTATTTACGCGTGAAGAATCGAGCAGGAAATTGCTGTAAATATTACGACACGCGACTAGTATCGCGTCGACGATGAAAATCGAAGGATATGTACTCGCTACCGCAATCTTATTAATACGTTATTAGGGCCGACGGTACGGTATGACGCGAAGGATGCGAAAAGTATTGTAGGCTCGAGGAGAAGGTGTTCAGAATAGAAAATGACGATTCCCGTGATGGGCGCGTCTTCAAGGTGAGGAGTAAGACCGATGACAATGTAACCGCAGGTGATTAGATTAAAAGCGGCGCGCAATAAACCTCAGTTGCCGGCCTGTTGTTTATGAGTCAACTATTGGTTATCGTCTCGCGGCTCCGACTTATTTTAGTACTGGCGCGAAATGCAGAGCGTTAACACATTGTCTCGGTCTGGGAACAGATTTCCGCGTTTACACGCCAAACGTCGTTGGAAAATACCGGAACGATTATTGGAGTAATTTTAACGAGCAAGAAGTATTTCTTTTTTTTTTCCTTTAAAGAGTTACCACGGTGTAGCCATTGAGACACGTAGCTTTTGTTTGGACTCTTTTTTAGAAATTGTATTTGAAAGTTAAAGGGTTCTCCGGAAGGGTCTTTGAAATTTTGTCATTCACGGTGGACACCTAAACGTCATCAATCTTTCATATTTAATCGAGCGAAAGACGTAAATACGAGGAAATGGGGTGGACTCGAATACAATAGAGTCTCTACAATATCCACTTTCTGGATAATGTTTTGCTTTCAATAAACGTGGATTCCGCCTCGAACCTGCCGTCATACTTTCGGTCGATCCGGCTTTAAATAAACGGAGCTCCGAGTGTCCGCTGATGCAGACATTTGATCAGCCATCCAACCAACCAATTTGCTCCGCGGAGAGGGCACCGTTGAAAAATACAACGCGACAAGAGAATGATGGAAGAGGAGGAGAAGAAGAGTCAAAGACCAGCAGCGTCCGAGCTGGATTCGGATTAACAAGTCGCAAAGTGGGCGGCCGATATATTTAACGGCAGACTGCGCCCGAAGCTTCCTCGTTGATCGCCGACCTCCCGACGACCTCGCTTCCACAGATTTTTTAGTTACCCGCGCGACGCTCTCCGCCGGTTGTTTAGACGCAGACTACCCGACCGGGAATCTAAATGCAACGAACCAATACGATACTACGTTACCGCTTTAAAAATGGCATTTAAATTATCTTAATTACGCGCTCAATTAACTCAAAATAACTTTTAAAGAAGCTAAATTAAAAGTTACTGATACTCGCCGAACAATTATTTTTTACGAGTAAACCGTAATTATGATAAACCCCGTTAAGGCTGTAGACCAGCCTTAGCAGTTCGCGAAGTACAATTGAACATTTTTTTACTAGTACCTTTAAATTCACAGCCTAACTGAATCTACATCTGCACAAGGTCTGTTGCGCTTGACAAGACTAGAACGAGCTACCCTACCACGAGGCCCAATTAACAACAATCGGTCCAATTGGCTTAGAGCCGGTCCTCTAACCGCAAAGAAGTTCACAAAAAGATACATTCAAACGCCAAACCTCTCCCTTGATTATACCTAGAATTATACACATTTACGAGAAATTTTTAATTAGAGTCAAAGCAAAGTTAGATTTGTAAAATGGCACAATGTACGTGGCAGGAAGGTAACGCCGTCAGCCCAAGGAATCATTAATCTAATACACGTACGAGGATGCAAAACAGCGTTCGTGGAAAAGCAGTTCACTTCTCTGTGGAGTGTTTTCCTTGTTGGACGCGGCAAGAAAGAAGAAACGTCCTACGAAAAAGAAGGAAGCAGGAGTGAAATCGTCGAACCAGCCGCGCATGGCCGTTCGCGCGAATAATAAACATTCTCTGGCGCACTTGCGAAACGTGTGCTCGTTGAACGAGACAAAGGGGGGAAAGAAAGGTGAGCGGGTGCGAAATGAGCAATTCGGGGGCTCGTCGTGTGTCCCCGCGACGCACCGCGATTCTATTCTGCACGTCGCCACGACCAGACTAAGCGAGGAAGAGTCAGCAGGAAGAGAAAACGCGGAGAGACGAAGAAAGAGTAAGTAAGTCGGTTAGTTACGGTAGGAGGCGTAGGAGGGTTGAAGCTGCATGACGCTTGGGGAGTGCAGCGATACCATGACGTATCGACCGAGAGCGCCACGCGGACTGACGTCATGATCACGGCCTCAGTCAGACCGCGAGCACGTGAACAGCACGCCGGTGATCACGCGGTCGTTGGCTGACAGGGTCGTTGCGATTGGCCGACCACGGCGAGCCCCTCGACGGGATTGGAGGAAGTGGTGCGCGCCGCATGATCACGCACACAACGGCTACGGCGTGTCGAGCCAGCCGACCTGAGAAAGCTTCATTGCGTTACCAGACGTTCAACGGTTACGTCCCCTTTGCGGCTTTTTTCGCACGCCAATACCGTATACGCAAGACCGAGTTTTCCCGTCGCCGGACGAGCCTCTTTAACGTACCATCGACTCGCGATACGTTTTTTCCAAAAAATGGATACGAATCAATCGCCGCTCTCACCACCTGCCTCACCCCAATTCAAACACGTAAGTGTATGCCGAATTAAAAGTACCGCCGCCGTAGACCGACCAGCAGCCCGCGAAATACGAATCCAGCTGGGAACAACGACCAGCCCTGTTCCACTTCTTCTTTAATTCTTCTTTAATTTTGATAGCTTTACCGTTTCTATCGAGTTGTTTGTTTTCTTTCGTCTTCCGACCTTTTGTTTCGTAGACACTTTTACTGACTTTAATCGAGTATGTTGGATTTTTCACGCCCATTTGTTTACACGTTTACGCGATCTTCTGAAAATTTCCGTGTATGAATATTAAATATATGGTGTATTTAAGTATTTTCTAATGAAAATTGTTTTCTTTCTAACAGAACGAGCCGCTTCAGTCGTCGTTCAGCGTCGCGGCACTTTTGGGTGACAAGCTACTGCAAGAAACAAAGAACATCGAGATAAACACGAAAAAAGATGACGATGGAAATGCATGGCCTGGTTTACCCCCAACGCCTCAGCCATCCGATTCGGAGGAAGATGAGCCCCTTCGAAAAATGCGATGCGTGGAGCAATGCGAATTGGCGAAGGTAAATACCGTCTCGTCGATAGATTGCTTTCTGCGCATCTTAAATACAGAACCCTATCTCCTTTTGATTTTTTTCTCTGCGGGCGATCGACTAGCCACTCCAATGTGCGTTTGCGCACGCGTCGTAGAGTTGTTTTGCAAGATGACCCCGTTTGCAACGTGCATTCACTCTTACACCATTTTCGTCGCTTATCCTTCGAGCGATGCTTGATACCTTCCGACGGTACCAGTCGTTAACTGCGTGACTCGTACATGATCGCGAGTAGATGGCATTCAAGTTATCGATAACGATACATTTTCATGCGTTTTCGCTCTTTTGACTTGCTGCACTCCGGTGAAGCCCCTTCGGCGACATACTACGTATCCTGCCAATTAAAAATTTAATTTTCAACATACTTGCACATTTTCACACAAAAAAAAACATTTTTCATTTTCCAGATACGATATCGTTAAATTTACAGTTACCAATTTCTCGTACATTAAAATAAATTCTCCATTAACACCTTCCCCTTGGTTTGATTGCATGTGAAATACCTATCCTAAATTGTTGAAAGCATACATTTCAAAAAGTGGCTGTAAAATGAAAGTTAAAAATTGTATTCTTCTTACGTTAGTTACTTTTGGATGGTACACGTGTGAAATGCCTATCCTAAATTGTTCGAAGCATACATTCCAAAAAGTGGCTGCAAAACAAAAGTTAAAAATTGTATTTTTCTTATGTTAGTTACTTTTGGATGGTACACCGCCTCCGAGTCCAGAGCCTGCTCGCGCGTCGGTGATAATGCGTGCCAATCGAGACGGAACCTACAGCCCAGCCATCTTATCGCCAAAGACTACCACCACGACCTCGCAACCGACTCCACGTGAGCCACCAGTCTCCAGCCCGCAGTCGGAACCAACCACGCGCCGAAGCACCACGGAGCCGGAGAATGTTCTGAAGAGTTTGAAATTCAAAATGAGCCTGCGAAAAGAAGAGATCATCGTGAATAATAAAAACACGGATCGCGAGATAACACAGCCGAAATTACATCCATTGGCACCGAAACCAGCCCCGATTATGGTAACTGGACTTCTTGGTTCTTCCTTGGTCCTACCGCGAACACCTCTTCTGTTAGTAACCGCGCCTACAGCTACCACCACGACCAGTCTCTCCACGCAAGAATCTGTCGCGCGACGTCGCGTCTATGAATGCGAGCATCCAGGTTGTGGCAAGAATTATTTTAAGTCGTCACATTTGAAAGCACACACGCGAACCCACACGGGAGAACGGCCCTTTTCGTGCCCGTACGAAGACTGCAACAGACGGTTCTCAAGAAGCGATGAATTGTCGCGCCATAAACGTACCCACACCGGCGAGAAGAAGTTCGCTTGTAACGTCTGCCAAAGAAGATTCATGAGAAGCGATCACTTGGCGAAACACGTGAAAAGACACGCCAGAGACAGGTCTTCGTCCGTTGTTGCGAACGGGATTCAATCTTCTGTTACACAAATGGCATCCGCCCCCTTAAGGGTGAGCTTGCTCCCTGTTATAGCGCCACGGATAACTCAGCCGACTCATCAAATCATACCACCGCAATTGGCGGCTTGAGCACCACTAGCATAGTGATCTAGTGTCACGTGATAGGCTTGAACCGTATCTAACGTTGCGAACCGAGCTTCAACCCGTCGCAGGATTGAGAACTATTCCACCGTCGTCAAAAAAATTGACAGAATTCATTGGCTCTCGATGGATAAATCGAAAGACGAATTTGCACGGGCGCGTAGACGATTGTTCTCCTCGATTCCGTGGAAACTAACTGGGATATTTTCATGTGTTCTCGATCGCATTGTAAATATGGATTAACGCGACGGAAGGGATCAGGAGGAATTACAAAACGAGTGAGCTTCCCGCTTGCCACTTCTACGTGTATCGCATTCGTGATTGTGCAAAACGAGCTAACACGAAGCGTGATCACGAGGAAGGGACCCTAAAGGCACGAGGAGCGGTGATAAGTCATAAAAAAACAACCGAGGCTTTTTTGCCGTCCGTGAACCAAGTACCTAAGTGTGTCTGTGATCTGTGATGCATAAGCGCGTTGACCGAGAAAGAGTATTTATTAAAAATTCAATGACAGTTTTTATGAGCTAAGTACGTAACGGCTATGCAAAAAAAAAAAAAAGAAAAAAAAACAAGAAACGCTAAAGTTACGCTGT